CTTGAAAATCCATTGGGTTTTACAAAAACACCTTTGTAATAGCGCTGCTCGGTGTTTACAAGGGAGGTAGATGGTTCTCTTTCAGCGACAGGTCCCGGATGATCCCACATGTATTTACTATCCTCACTATGCTGCAGGCACGTATGAGTTAAACAAAATTGGAAATCGTGCCGCTGGTATCTGCTGTTGCCATTCCTTTAATCACCATCTTAATTGTGCAGTCAACCCGCATATATTAATGTCATCAACATAGCATGACCTTAATGTTCATATATTCTCTCAACAAGGAGTTAATTAATTCTATTTTACAATACATGTAAACTATCTGTTCAAACGCTCTCTTACAATGTGCTCTATTAGTGCAGGGGTTCCCAGGGGGTGGTGGGGGGGTGCTTGTGAATTAATTTCAGTTTTCCGCACAAACACTGCGCTAGTGGATTGTCAAAGGGGGAGCCTCGTTGTGGGGAAATTATACAGATGGCTAGTAGTCCGCCCCTGAAAATGTCTATGCAAACGTTACTATTAATAATAATTTTTAAAAAAAAATTCCATTTTTATTTTGTAATCATCTCGCGACCCCCACTTTAGGAACCCCTGTATTAGTGTACAGCAGTTTATATATAGCTGCTGTCAGCCCTCCCTTGTGCCACACATTCTTCTTCAACAAATACCGTAATTTTCGGACTATAAGCCGCGCCTTTTTCCCTATTTTTCGACGCTGCGGTTTATATAACGGTGCGGCTAATCTATGGATTTTTACAGCTAACGGCCAACACCTTTAACTCTATGGGCTCTATGGCCGGTCCGCAGACCCCCACCTTTAAGCGGCGGGTTCCAGCAGGAAAAGCTGGAGGCCGGAAAAGAGTGAGACAGATAGCCCGCAAAAGTAAAAGTGGAACCGAGAGTGGTATGCCGCTGCTGCGGCTTATATTCAGGTGCGCCTTATAGTCCGAAAATTACGGTAATCTACATTTTAATACGAGAATAAAATGCAGTATTGTAGCTCCGGTTGCACTGAAGAACATGCATGAGAAGAGTAATAATAGATAACTCCATATTTTTTAAAGCCTTTACATACTAGTGAAAGGTATAAATATGACCAGGAAGTACACATATAAAATAGATCAGCTCGTTTTGTCACTCACAGCCAGTCAGGACACATTGTCGTGTTTGAACCTATGGGTCTTTTCAGAAGGAGTTTTTAAACATTAATTTTGGCCAGTTTTGATACCCCTACTGTAGTAAACATACAGTAAAAGCCATAAACGACAAAACCTGTTTCCTGCATCTTATCAACAAGTATAATGGATTAATCTTGGTGTCTGTACTAAAAATAGCAGCAGTTGATGAAAATGCTTTACATGAATGAAGTATTTTAAACAGGAAAGTATTCATGCAATCTCGATGTGCCCCCCCTGAATTGACAGATGTTCCTCGATAGCACTGGCAGTTTAATGGAGGGAGGAGCAGGCTGGTGAGAACCATCCCAAATGAACACTTAGACCTGCAGTGTTCGCCTTTTATTACTGCCATATCAGCAACTTGTGTCAAAAAATAACTATCAAAATGATGACGGTCCTGTATAGGAAATATACTTGCATTTAGAATACTTTAGAAGATTTCATTAGTATTGTGTCCAGTCACAAAATCAAGGAATAGAAACTAACCCTATCCTTCCGAAGACAATTTTAAAGTATTTTAAATCCAGCATTGTTTATGTACATGTTTGAATGCTTGAAGTCTTACTCTGTCTTTTTTGGCACATTTCTGCATATCTCTGCATGGTACACTACTTGTAGACTAAATCTAAATAAAGTGAAACCATCATCAGAAACGTATTTCGCTTCAGACATGCATGTGTGTTATTGTTTCTGGTTGTAAAAGCATTTTTTTTCACTGACTTAATAAGAATATTACTTTTTTAGGTTTTGCCTTGTACTTTTTCCTAATTGGGAACCATGCTAAAACCGGATTCACAAACGAGTGCAATAAGGGGGGCATATCTGCGGTTGGAAGAGCCTTTTTTTCTGACAAGAGACACAAAGAAGGGAAGCATGTAATAGCAGAGATGCTCACATATCACATGTACAGACTAGATAGGATTTTTATTTTTAAATGTAGTGTATGTGAAATAATACCATCTTGAATAGTAACGGTTTCCACCATGAAAGGGCTTCAATTCTATTGAGTTTTGCAGAATAGGTATTAAGAGATAAAGAGAAAGAATACGAGTCTAACACTAAAGGAAGCATCTTTTTGTCAGGCTGTATTATTTCATTGCCTATCCCCATCCTTTCACCTAAACAAAAAATGAAATGGATGGTGAAATATTGTATTTTGTGAATGCAACAACATTTCTACTCATCATAAAATTCTAAGGCATTGCCTCTTAATGTGCTCCCTGGTTTCACTAGATCAACACTGTCTTTACAGGCAGTGTACATTTGTTTTTCCAAAACCATGACCTTTCACGTAGGAAGCTGAAATTCGTTTCCAGTAAATCTGCCAAAAAAGCTAGCACTTGCAAAACAGAAAGAAAAAGGCTTTGAGTCAGGCCAAATATAATGAAGCCGTAACAATGAATAATATTCCATTTTGGCTCACAACCACTTTTCGCTCAGCAAATTCAGAGTGGGAACACTTTAACAAGGTTCTGCTGAGTTTTATAAACAGAGATTCATGGTGTTAGTCACTTTTTTGGAAGAAGTTTTTACAAGCACAAAGTCGAAGACCATTGAGGAAGGATCTGCTCTCTTTCACGATGTGTCTCATTAAATTAAGGCTGTATCTTTGGAAAATGACACATAAAGGTCAATCTGTGCAATATTATTCAGCAAATTACAAATTAATAAGGACATTATTAAACCTGAGCTGTAAAAGTAGGCAAAGTCAGACCCATATTAAAGTACACAGAGTCACCAGCTTTTTATTACTGTCTTATTTTCTACCATTTTAAAGACTATTCTTGGCTATACCTGAAAGACTACACCTGGATCTTTTATCAATTTAAAGAGTACTAATAATAACCCAAATTGCATTACCAAAAACTGCTATAGATGCCTTTTTACTAAATCACGATTGCACATTCAAACTCACAGGCCTACTTTAAATTCAGGCAGTCACTCCATGGAATCCGCAGAATAAGCATTATTTTCCATCGCATTATTTGGGATTCGTTATACCCAAAACGGACTAAATGAATCCCATAGATATTTTCTTCACACGTAGCTTAAGCCTTTTACTATTTCTGTCAGTTTAGTATCCTTCAGGAATTTTCATTGTATTAAAACGCCCTCCGCAAACACACCAGAGAGTCAACCACCATACCATCCTTCAAACAAGCCCACATACAACCCTTCAGACTTTATTTCCTATGAAACTCCTACGTCATAACTCCACCAATCTTACGGCTATACTGTGTCTTTGTAATTTCTCTAAATGTATTTAATTGAATCTTGTTTGTTCACTCCTGTTGGCCTATGCAAGTTTGTTTTATCTTTGTAAAGTGTCGTTAATTATTTAGAAAGGTGGGGTATAAGTTTGAGAAACCGGCTCGAGATACACTTTGTGTTATATTCCATAGAATGCTCTTAACATCCCGATAGCAATGAATATCTTAAGTGCTTTGACAAAAAATCCATAAAAAATGTCATCTGTGGAAGCCGTAGTACTGTAAAGAGCACGATCAATAATTTTAGCCGGCCCGGCTAAAATAACTGGATGGCCTACCTGCCTGTCAGCCTTTCATCTGTGCACAAACTTATCTCGTGCCCTCATTGGTCATGTGCACGTTTGTGTGTGTATAATGCAAAATGCACTTTTGTACGTCTTTTATACATGAATATGTGTCCCCGGTGTTCCAGGGAACTCACCAAGTGTCAGAAAACACAACCCTCTCTATTTTTCTCCATACCCAAATCTCTTAAAAAGGGGCTGCAACGGATCTGATACAGACTGATACAGATTTGAACACTTCTGTGACGTCACAGAAGTGGCGCTACGGCTATTGGGCCAACTCCACCAATCAGGAGGAGACAGCAACGGACATTGCCGTTCGAAAGCGCTGGAGACGCTGTAGTACATATGCCAGGCCTGTAGATGGTGCTGTTCTCACAGAATCAGCCCATGCAAAGACAGTGTTAAATTCAGCGAAATGAGGAATGGCTAAAATGCATGATCTGTTTGGTATTTTGAAAAATAAAAAGTATAAATAGGCCTTATATAGGTATGGTCCTACACTATATTATTCAAATATAGCATGATAGGGCCACTTTAAGTATTATCATTATTCCATTGTAACTTAGTTTGTTGTTTTCTGTATTTGATTTTCTGATTCAACAGTACATTTCTTAGTAATGCCATGCACATACTGTATCCCTTTTCCAATCTATGCTAATCATTTTAAAATGTGCTTTTCTTACTCCACTTGCTTGTGTTGCTCTAATATGTGGCTCTAACTCAAACAAAAACATCTGCAAAAATGGTATTACGACATTATTGTTTTTTTTTGTATTTCATCATACTGATTTCTGAAAACAAAAACATATTAAGCTAACGCAAATGAGTAAATAAAACAGATTATCACTGCAGCTTATATAGCGTGCCTTTGTCATGGAGAAGCAAAATGTTCAAAAACAAAGCCCAGAGAGAGAAGAGAGTAGCAGACGCAGTGGAGTGAAAAATATGATAGGACGGAGGGAAATGAGGACATTCGCAGGCCACGTTGTGTGTGCTGTTCTAAGGTTTTTAATCATGTCACAATTTCAAGTGTCTGCAAAAAAGAAAACAAATATTAGCTCTGCATTATTTTTCAGGTGAAAGCAGCACTTTCTAAGATGTTTTATGCAACACTACAGTGAAAAAGTGAAACCTTAAATCAAACCGTGTCACTAGCAATAAGCAGGCCTTTTACAATCTTAAGAGATATTACAAATCTAATTGTGTAAAATATTGTGAATTTCTTTTAGCTGTAGCTTTTACATTCAAAGCATGAACTGTAACTTACTTATAACTGTACCCCTCACTACTTTGCATTTTTATCTTCTCCCTTTCAATTTCTTGTCAGAAAGTCCTCAAAATACAGACATTTGATTTGTCAGCGACATGCGTGATTCACTGACAGGCACACTCCAACAGAAGAATAAAATATCTCCAACATAAACGAGGACACGCAGAGCATGAAGCCTGCAGGTGTGAATCATCCTAAAATACAGGTTTAGAGAAGAAAAGTTATCTCATCCTCTGCACTTTACAGCGTTTGAAAAGTAAATAAACCCATCAAAACCGTGTTTTTATCAAACATTAGTGTTGACAAGTGAGCCACAGTCCAGACCTGCAGGCCTAAATACGGTATTTCCATGGCCAGAGGAGAAGTCCCCGCTACCCATGGGAGCCTCCGGTTCACATTCATCCAGTCTGCCTTGAAGAGGAGAGCCCCTGCTTCTAAATTTAGACACAGTATATCACAGTAATTGACTCTGTTTCTGCCTAACAAGCAATGCTTTTTTGCAATAAAAGGCTTACAATGTAGAGGGGGAAGCCCACATGTGGAGTTAATGTTCTAATGTGACTGGGAACGCTTTAATTGATAACACCGAAATGCTGTTATTTGAAACCAACTACAAAACACGTCGAGAACAAATGTTGAGAAAATTCTTCATAATTCGAAAAAAATAAAAAAAGAGGCCGGATATGTTCATCAGTATGCACAAAAGAAATGCTTTAGAAATGGCAATACTGTGGCTCTTTTCCACCAAATGATACACCTAACTTATGATTAAAGATGTTTTGCTAACATACAAAAATAGGAGAGATTTGCGGTCGTCAAGCTACTTATTTCTGCACAGCAGCATTAAACAGATATTATGTAAATAAAAAATGTAAGTTGCCTTAAACAATGTTAGTTGCCTTATAAAAGAAAGGGCAGAGATTGATGAAGACAAATAAAAACACAACACAAAGCTAAATAAGCAGAAGAAGACTCTGTGCCTGAAGCGGAGCAGACTTTGGGGCACATTGCCTGCTGGACTCCCACGATGCAGAAAACTGGAGGTCAAAGATAGAGCGTCTTATACCCGTGTGGATCTCAGTGAACTGAACAGAAATAACCCCTGCAGACTGTACAGTATAGCAGACAGAAAGACAGATAGTGAGCCAAAGCAAGAGGCACTATACAAGGTGACAGATTGGCCCCAGCTCGGAGGGCGTACTTTCTGTTTCCCATGGCCCGAGGGGTCTTCAGATGGTAGTCTATTTCAGCAGGCCGCTACTCTGATGTTATTTCAACTGCAATATTACAGCTGCCTGTCCTACTTACATGCACAAGGATAAAGCCATATTCTATCCAATTAGGCGTATGATTGATGTCAAATATTTATGTGGGTCTAAGATTCAGAAAATGTCATACAGTTACAGGAAAGCCCTTATTTCTAAGTTCTGGACTGTCAGGCATTTGTTGGCTAAGTTTTTTTGAAAGAGAAAGACATTGACCTGCTAAGAAATTATCCAAGTGATAATGTAATAGAGAATATGAGGACAAATACTTGTATAATAAATGTCTGACAGATTATTATTTACAATGATGTAGATCTACTGCTGCTGTGTCAGGCATTGAAAAAAGTATTGTATTATATAAAATTATCCCCTCTCACACCCCTTATTATAAACATTATGTCTTTTTTCATGCAATTTATCTTAGATATTTTACTTCCTGATCTAAAATATTCGCTTTTATAATCAGGTGAACTATTTGAAAAAAGTATTTAAAAAAAATGCTCAATATCCACACATTTTGAGAGTGTAAATAGAAGCACAAGGGCATTGCAGTCGTGCTACAGGACGTTCAGGCAAATTGAACGGCAGGGAAAATAGGTTCTGATTCTTTAGTGATTTTATTTGCAGTGTCGGCAGTTATCAGACAAATACTCTGTCGTATACTTGCTCTTTTGCAGCGGTCCAGACAAAAAACCGACAGGTCTTTTCTTTCTCTTTTGTTAGTGCCTTTCACGGTTCTCTATGCTGTTATGATATACAGTATCTCCACGCTTCCAACACAATAGGGCAATGTCTTAATTGTCCTTACAAACAACATACATCCTCAAAGTGAACTCTTGATAGAAGATAGTGTTTTACATGAAGACAATATAGAGTTTTTTCCAGAGCTAGAAGCGGGATTAAGGTACATTTTACGGAGGCATGACAAAAAAAACAGTAAACAAGCAGTTTTTTAAAGTTTGGGATTAAAAACTATCTGCTTATCTCAAATTAATTGAGACTTAAAAGAAAATATATCCTTCAAAGAGATTCACAACTAAAAAAAAAAAGTCAATTATTACGGAGCGATTAATTCTGAATTTAATCACATTGTAGGTAATTTGGTCCACTTAGTCAAATTACACAGCGTGTGGAGAGCAATTTGCTTTCACGTCCCACTGCGTGAGACACACTGTATTGTGCGTGTGAGATGTTAGGACAGTAAGATAGTGGAAGTTTGCAGATCCTCAAGGGCATCTTAACTAATGCAACAGCTTCCTACTGTGATTATTTAGCAAACCAACATGCAATTCTACATAGAAAATCATGTTTAAATATTGATGGATATTTTCATCTCCTGTAACTAACAGCCATTTATTATGCACACAATTGCACTGTAAACCTGCTTAATAGAGGAAACCAGTGTAAGATTGGCACATTTATGGCAACATGGGTATTGATCACATCTAATCTGAAGAAACCTAATCAAGGCTGGATTATTGTAACTCCTTATTATCAGGGTGTACCAAGAAGTCAGTCAAGTCGCTTCAGCTGATTCAAAATGCTGCAGCTCGTGTACTAACCAGAGTTAGGAAAAGGGACCACATTACTCCTGTTCTGGCTGCCTTACACTGGCTCCCTATTGAACACAGGATAGAATTTAAAATTCTTCTTCTCGCCTACAAAGCCCTTAATGGGCAGGCGCCACCTTACCTTAAAGAACTCATTATACCCTATTGTCCTACTAGGGCATTGCGTTCCAAGAATGCAGGGTTGTTGGTTGTTCCTAGAGTCTCTAAAAGTACAATGGGAGCCAGAGCCTTTTCTTATCAAGCTCCACTTTTGTGGAATCAGCTTCCAGTTTGTGTTCGGGCGGCAGACACCCTATCCGTTTTTAAGAGTGCGCTTAAGACCTTCCTTTTTGATAAAGCTTATAGTTAGGGCTGATTAGATTCAGCCCCTAGTTTTGCTGATATAGGCTTAGTTTGTCGGGGGACATCTTACTTCTTCCTTCTCTCTGTCTATACCTGTGTACTCTCATGTTCCGATTAACCCAGCTTCCCCAAATTTCTTTCTTTTTGGTGTCTATATACGCCGGGATCCGGAGTCATGGATGATCCTGCGGTCCTGTTTCATGGATCGCGAGTCCTGGATCTTGAGTCGTGGCTGTGGTCCTGGATCATAAGTCCTGGATGGATATCCTCGTGGATTCATCTTCCTATTATACACACATGCATTTCCAAACATTTGGACTACCTATGTTGCAAATGTATTATCTTTTCAATTTACACACGGCATCTATTGCACGTCTGTCCGTCCTGGGAGAGGGATCCCTCCTCTGTTGCTCTCCCTGAGGTTTCTCCCATTTTTCCCTTTAAACTGTGGGTTTTCTCTGGAAGTTTTTCCTTGTACGATGTGAGGGACTAAGGACAGAGGGTGTCGTATTGTCATACTGATATTCTGTACAAACTGTGAAGTCCACTGAGACAAATGTAACATTTGTGATATTGGGCTATATAAATAAATATTGATATTGATTGATTGAAACCGGGTAAAGACACAACTTGCTTATTTACATTTGGCGTACTGTGCGAGGTATTCATCTAAATTCTTTCTTACTTTTTATCATAACCATCTGTACAAATTACATTACACAACAATCTGATTTTTCCTTATGCAAACATGAACAACTAACATGCACAGAACACACTATTCCATTATGTATAAGTCACCTCAGCTGGAGAGGAACACACTCTGGTTTATTAATGCCAAATGTTTATGTTCACTGCACATCTGGGTTGCTACATGCATGTCTCACCACAAGCGGGCCTTGCCAGCTGAAACAGGTGCTTGTAGAGGGAAATGATGCGGGAGATTGAGTGGATGGTAATAATATTTTTGCAGAGACAAGGAGAGAGTTGCCACGTCAGCTGTACCTCTATATAAAATCATAGACAACAAATGATAGATCTGCATGTGTCGTATAGGAACTCAGACACACTCATCGTGGCACACACACTTGTGCAAAATCACCCGCAGTTATAAATAACATTTTTTTACCTTCCATTATTATTTTTTTAGTGGGCACTAACATGAAAGGCACTCAGTCTCTGAATGCATTTAAGGAGCGATATATGTGCAGCAAGGTATGAGTGAGTGCCAGAATAGTAAAGACAAACTCACCTTCGGGAAAGGTCAGTGCTAAAATAAATGGGATGATTGAAAAACAGCAGCTCTATAGATCTTTTCACACTGAGCCGAGCATGGAGAAAGTAATGATAAAACAACAACAAATGCTACAATGCACCAATAGACAAGCACATTGGCATACTGATGCAAATACACACACTTACAAAGGCTTGACAAATATAACATGTTAAATTATTAACTAAATGTGAAGATTTTGGACCATTAATCAAGAAGAAAAACTAAACTTGATTTCAACACTATCTGCCACCTCCAGAAAATCTTACATCAGGTTTTTCCCTTGGAGACAACTGACTCAGGATTGTGTATCACATGGTTTTGTTTAACCAACATTATTGATCACATGGTATTGATAAACCAGGATTGATTATGGGTTTAATATTTCATTATCTGGTTAAATAAATCCAGGATTATGTATCACTGGTTGTTTATTTTTACCCAGGAAAACATTATATATTGCTTTTTTAACCCAGGATTATTTGCAACTGCTGCCTTTAAAGCTATATTATTCTACAACTGGTTTTGTTTACTCGAATAACTGTCCTCGTTAACAGGTGTGCTCATCACATTGCTCTGTAACCCATTTTCAGTTTTTATTGTGCACCTGCCACCTGGAATAAGATGCAAAACAATCAAAAGCTTACCTCTACTATTCTTAGTTCATTTCATTTCATCCTGTGTCACTTTCAGTTGTTCCTTGTTTTATTTGATTCCTATGCCTCAACTTTAAATTGCTCTATCAATTATTTAGTTTCATATTTGTCTTTGAGGTCTCAATGTTTTTCAAAGTTAAAATAAAGGTCGAATGAACCAATGAGTGTTGACTGATGAACAATTCTTGCTGAAACCAAAAGGGAATGTTAAACATCACAGACCAAGAGCAACCTAATATTAGATAAGGAGAAAGCACTGATCCATGAGGACAAAGAGCACGCTGCAGTGGAAATTGCATTACAACAAAAGGCAGGCAAACTAAATGTTCTGTTTAATCAAACTATACATGTATGTGTTATTTGGGAATAAATTACGTTGTTATTGTTTTTTTTTTACAAGCCTTTACATTACTACATATCAAAACATTAACAGAAAATGTGTTCCTGTTTCTGTTAAAGTGGACCTATAATGCTATATTTGAATCATATATTGCAGGGCCATACCTATATAAAACATGTCTGAAGAGTTGCCCATATAGGCGGAGCACCCTTTTTCTGACGTCAGAAAAATTCAAATAATAATCAGCTCCGTTGCAGCCCCGTTTTTAGAGATTTGAGTATGGTGGACAAGAGGGAGGGTTGTGTTTTCTGACACTTGGTGAGTTCCCTGACACACCTGGGACACATATTCATGTATAAAAGACGTACAAAAGTGCATTTTGCATGATAGGTCCCCTTTAAAGGAGACCTATCATGCTATATTTAAGTGATATAGTGTATGACCATACATTTTATTTTTCAAAATACCAAACAGATCATTTTTTAGCCATGCCTCGTTTTGCTCATTTTCGCTCTATTCCAAGCCGGTCTTTGAAAATTCTGAGCAGCAGCTGACCACCCCCCCCCTGCGGAAGGGGGGCATGAGCCGGCGAGATTCACGTTACCATGTTTGCTGTGATTACGAGTGTGGAATAAACATGTCATCTCAGAGTAATGCGGCGCGACGAAGCCCAGTCAAAGACCTAGTTTAACTATTATACCGGAAAC